TTCACGCATGAAACAACTCATCCATTTGGTCCTATTATTTAACATATAACTCTGAGTAGTCTAGCAGAGCATGGTGCTTGCTTCTTTTGAGAAGTAACCCAGCTATAACTATATTTGAGAGATGGTATTTTGGTGTGATTCTCCCCCCACCCCCCTGCCCCTTGTAATTCCAAATGTATTTGAAGCAGCAAATCATTCTGCAAACAGCTGTTTTCTGTTAAGATGGCGTGACTGGCAGAGAGTCATTTTCAGCTTCCTAGGGTCCTTTTCTTATTCAGATGTATGGTAGAGCTTTCATGAAAGGGGCAGGAGGAAGCTCATTTCTCTAGGTTTTTCTCCCACCAAGTGCAAAGGAGTCTTGTACCTGAGGAACTCTCATCCCCACAGTTCCCAAGACTTAGGTAGGATGTAAATCCCTACAATGAGACTTTCTCTTTTTCAATCAAAGGCTTTTTATTCATTTGTGAAAAGCCTGGAGGTTGGAGAAAAGAAATCGATTGAATTTTGGAGGTTTTGTAAATGCTCCTCAACTTTTTTTCATTGTCTGTCCTCCACCTTTTGATGCAGGTGTATTTTGGAAGTTTCATTGGCCATTTTCCTCCCCCTGCTGCCTTTCTGGGTGCATTTTCAGAGACAAGAGGCAGAGAGAGGGGAGCAGGGAGATTCGTAGGTGTAGTAGCACTTATTTCCACAGAAAATAACATTTTTCTTTTTAAATTTTTTCTGAGAATCACTTTTCTACTGAGACAATTTGCTGTTTCCTTCACTCATAACAGTGAAAGACCAGATGAGAAAGATTTTCTTTTTAAGTCAAAAGACAATGGGAAAAGAGTGAAAATGAGGAGAGGGATAAATTAACTTGCATTCTGATCTCTTTAATATTATCTTTAATTGTATATGTTTATGTGTCTGTGCATATAAATATGTATATACATAGTATATATAGTCTGTGCACATATATATGTATATACATGGTATATATATACATAGTATACATATATGAAACTATGTATATACATAATATATATTATAGGATATAGCCTTCTCTGTCAAAGTATGGTGGCTGTCATCGGTGGAACATTTGTAGTCATTTATGATAGTCCAGTACTTTCTGCTGAGCATATAGCAATTCTGAATTTATGGATCTAGATTGGGAGATGGGGACCTGGAACATCACTGGCGTGACAAACCTGAGTAGAGAATCATTTGCTCTAAACCAAGATAGCATCTGGGTCTGGGCTGTTACAGATGCAGTGTAATAGGTCTGCACAGGGAAATAGCTTGCACAGGGAAAATGTTGGATCTACCCACCGTCTGTCTGTCTATCTATCTAGTCTAACCTATTGCTGATGAGTCAATTCCAAATCATATCAACCTTTTAGAACATAGTAGAATTGCCCATCGGGTTTCCAGGTTCGTAAATCCTTTACCAAAGTATACTGCTTCATCTTCCTCCTAAAAGAGCAGCTGATGGGTTTGAACTGCTCACTTATCAGTTAGCACTGGGATACTTCACCAGTTGTGCCACCAGGGCTCCTTTTCTAGTCTGTAGTCATCCACCGCACAGAACAAAAAATAATAGGTGATCACTCACCCCTGCTCCATCCCATCAATATTTGCTTTACAAAGCTTTCATCTCCTTCAGATTTGCTTGAGTTTGAGAGATATTTTCCCCCATCTCCTACAAAGGCAAAAGGGAAACATTAGATATTATCAGAAATAAAGTTTGTCCCCTAAAAGCTTAAATTGAAGTATTTTGGCCCATAATTAAGCTTAGGCGTCAAGACAAATGAATGCAAATGGAAGAGATTTATTATCACCATGTGCTGTGCATATAAAAAATACATCGTTCTGAATTCTAAAGTCATTTTACAAAAACTTCACGATTTTTGTTTTCCTTTGAAACCTTTTATTCCACAAAAACAAACAAACAAACCCACAGATACTAAATTACTTGGTGTCCTCATTCATTGTGCGTATAACAACTGTGGATTTTTCTTTTCTTTTCTGAGAATTCTTTAACATAACTAACCATCTTTGTTAAGGTAGCAGTGCTATGCATTTGCATCACTATAGAATTAAATTATGGATTCTGTCACTCATATAAATCAAGGAAAATCTCATAACTAAGATGAATAGATTTCTTTAAAATCTCATGCTGCCTCATATTCCATACTTTAGTTTTGTTGTACAACTCAGTGTGATTTTTAAAGTATAATTCTCATTTATTTATTTCAATGTTCTGATTTTGCTTTGTGAACATGCCATTGTAAACATAAGAAAAGTTACTGTATCTAAAGAAAAGTTATACAAAAGCAAAAAGATTCTTTGTAGATTATTAGGAAAATTGCTTCCTCCCTCTTTCTTTTCTTCTCTCTCTCTCTCACTCTCTCTCTGTGATACTGAAACCTTATATTGCAAAAAATGGCAAAATTCTAATGTATTATTGTTTTTAAAAATTTTTAATTATGTTTTAATTTTTTTATTGCATGTACTGTCAAATCAGATCTGACTGGTACAGGAGGAAATTGTCCCTCCTTCTCCAGCAGAGTATCTGGTGGATTCGAAAAGTGCACCTCTGGGATTGCAGTGCCCTTCTTGCCACTAGGCCACCAGAGCTCCCTTGTATTAACTTTTGTTTTCCCTGCTGATTGGAATTGTTGAATATAAAGGACAATATTCACTTATACAGCTTTTTAACAACAAATGAGTGTGTTAGCCATAGACCAAGTGTCGACTTTGGAATAGCCTGCGTAAATGCCAATGACTGTATGCTGAGTGTCCACAGTACAGATATCAAGGAGAGCTGTGACTGTGCAGTCTGAAGGCAAAGCCACTCAGTAGCTACTTATTTCTCACAACAGCCTTTTAACTGCCCTGAAGCAGGGAATTTGGGCAATGACCAAATCTGAGTGTGCAGCAAGATTAAAAATAGATAAAGAGAAGGAAAGCCTAAAATAAAATTCTTTAAGCTTTAGTGTGGTTAAGTCTAAGGAGCCCTGGTGGAACAGTGGTTAAAGGCTCAGCTGCTAACCAAAGGTCAGTGGTGCAAACCCACCAGCTGCTCTGAGGGAGGGCGACTTGGCACTCTGCTTCTTTACAGATTCACAGCCTTGAAAACCCTATGGAGGCAGTTCTATTCTGTCCCATAGGAAGGATCTCTGTGAGATCTCCAATCTCACCAGCAGTGGGTTGGGTGAGGTTTCCTTTGGTTAAGTCTGTGGATCTAGACTGGATGATGGTGGGGCTGGGATGCCATTGGTATGGCTTGGGAAAGCTGGGGGTAATTTGCTAGAAATACTCTCCAAATGTAGCTGCAGTTGGTGAAATAAAAGACTGAAATCCAGGAGAGACTCCAGAGGATTGATTCTCCCCAATAAGAGATTGGAAGAATCTCTTTTCTCTGGGGCAGAGACTAGAGGAGAGGAAGAGAATTTAGGACTGAACCTTGGGACAATCTCTACTATAATGGTGTGAGAAGAGGAAGGAAAACTGGGAAATACAAACTAGGATGCTTGACTCTGAAAGTCTCCAGTTAGCTGGAAGTCAAATGGACGAGACTCACTTGCATCAGGCCAAAGCTGGCAGATCTAGTGACTATGAAATGCTATGACTCTCTGCTTCAGTAAAGGCTGTAGTAGGTATAAAAAGAAGCTGATGGTTTCTCGTAGGGAGGACACATTGCAGGGGAGGGGGGGAGGAAAACCAACTAACCTGCAGATCCAGTGCTGAACTGTCCCGTAGGATTTCCAAGCCATAAGTGCAGACTGCTACACTTTTCTCCTGTGGCAAGACTTGAAGTTGATCCTCTGACCATTTGAGTAGCAGTTAAACACTCTAATCACTGCACTACCAGGGCTTTTATTAGTTTCTTGAGGTTTTTAGCATGTATAAGGATTCCCTTACTGTTCTTATAGGTGGTAAAATTATATAGTGATTCCTGAGATACTCTTTATTTTTTTAATTTCGCTTGATGATGCCACTCCCACTTGGAGTGCCACTATCTTTTTAATGGCTCATCATTTTTTGCCTTTCGATGGAAAACAGGCACAAATTATCACTGGTCTTTTGTAAAAGTGAAGTGACATAAAGCCAATTTTTGCAAAGCAAAATACCTTTTGTTTTTATGTACCATCAAATCACCTGCGACTCAGTAGCGACCCAAATGTACAATAGCTTTGAACCCTGTCCAACCCTGAGCCAATCTCATTGTACGTTATACCTATACCTTTATTCTTATGAAACTATAGGAAATCTTTACTAATAATATGACTTCCTTTTTGCCATCAAGTCAGAACCAACCCATTGCTGTCCCTCCATCATTTCTCCCGATGTAGTCATCTTGAGAGAGCTCTGTTGGCCTAGTGACAAGAAGCTGTGCTGCCAACCCAAAGGCATGCAGTTTGAATCCACCATCTGTTCCATGGAAGAAAATTGGGCGATCTCCTCCTGTGCAATTTACTGCCTCTGAAAACCCACCTAAGGGTCAGATGTGACTTGATGGCAAACAACATATCTGTATAGTTGCTATACATTTCCCCTCCTCTGTTTCCTTGATTATTTGTATATGTAGATTCAAATTCCAAAAGCTCTTTAATCTGAACATGCATACATTTATACTTCATGTTGGGAAAGTGTTATTTAAATCTGTACTGTTACGATACCGTATCATTTCTAACTCCTAGATTATTTAAATACAGTCACATGCCTTTCAAAGTAGCACTAAGAGGGTGGGGGTCCTAGAATCAGAGAGAGTAAGTTTCAGTTCTTTTTTTTTTACTTTTTAGCTGTGTGCCTGTGAACAAGTCACTTAACTTCTCTCAGTCTGGGTTGCCTCATCTTTTATGGAGTTTGAATGTATTCAGTCCTGTGAAGCACATTTCGTACACAGTCCATGGCACGTGCTGAGAAGTCAAAATATTGGTGTATATATCCTTACCTTGGCCAGGGTAGATTTTTAGAAATACTTAATGCAAATTTGTCAAATTCTCGTTTCCCAGGGTCGGTGTACTAGAGAGAGCTGCAAGTACCTGCACCCTCCGGCACACTTAAAAACGCAGCTGGAAATTAATGGGCATAACAATCTGATTTAAACAGAGGACTGCCGCAGCCATGTTCACCCAACAGATGCAGTTTTTTCTCCAAAATGCTCAAATGTCATCTCTCGTAAGTTATCGCCACGTTTTCCTCATTCTATATATGTCCCTCTTTTTTTCCCCCTCTCAAAGAATATATATCTACACTGGCATAACCACACAGAACTCTTGGGAAGTTAGTACTAACCAGATTTAAGACTTAATTGGTCTGTAAAAACTAATTTAATTAATATTTTATCATTCATATGCAGTGTTTTGTGCATGTATGTTATGTTTGATATAGTCCTTCCTTTAGATACGAGTATTAGCATCTCGTATTAACATTGAAAGTTTGTCAAAACTGCAAAGATTAAGGGAGCTCTGGTGGCTTAGTGCTAAGGAGCTGAGCTTGGGAGCAGAGTAATGGTTGGTTTACACGATAAGCTCAATGTCACTGAATGTAAAGATTGTTGAAACATTCAATATTTTGTTCATCATGTGTTTGCCAGAGCAATCGCAATTAAGCTATTGCTATTTTCCTATATTCGTTTCAGTTTTAAAAAGGGCCATTGATTAAGTCATCAAGCCTTGATAACAGTTGCATTTTCATCTTTAGGCTTTCCAGGAAGAATTGAAAAGCATTCCCTTCCTGCCCCACAAAGCCCTTTCAGATCTTAAATTTAGCTTTGTGATGTCTCATTCTCATTCCATTTGGCCATTTCCCCTTCAAATAGTTAGCTATATGCACCTGAAATGGCTGTGGTGGCTTGCTAGCTGTATTGCTGCCATTGTATCAGTGACTGCTTAATAAATGTACTGAAAGATGTGTTTAGTAATAAGATGCAGTGACAAAGTGGAAGTAGGACAATCTGCTCTCAGCCACCCCTAGCTCATGATAAAACTGATATCTCAGAATTCAGGGAGATTTGTACAGGTAAATGCAAGCAATGCATGAATCACTAATATTTTAAACTTGATACTTTTTGCAGAATGTCTAGACAAATTTAAGAACAATAGATCATTTTTTAAAAAGATTTTTCACTTTCATGCTGATAATGTGTTCATCTCACACAGCATTTGTTTCTAATAATATAAAGAAATTATATATATATAACAAAACTTATTCATGAAAGAACCCAGAATAATTGAGTATGTTCAGTAGAGAAGCTCTGAGTTCAAAACACAAAGCAAAAATGACTGTTTCTACAAAACACAATAGATCATTTTTAAAATCCTGTACTACAAGTTTGCCAAGTGCAATTCCTTTGGGAATTGGTGCTTCTTGATAATGTTGATAAATAAGTCTCCAAAGATCACCCATGAACTCTTCCAAGCTCTCTTTGACTCTCAGTAATACTTCACATGATTGAACTCCTTCTTGAGTCCCTACTCTTAGCTCTCATACAATACAGAATGTCCGTTCCTCTCTACTTCTAAGCAGGCTAAGGAAGAGAAGGAATTCTCTATACTGGGGACAGTATGGACAAAGCCACAGAGAAATGAACATGCAGGATGGGTTTGGAAACATGAATAGATGAGGAATAAATAAAGCAAGGGAACTTTACACGCACCATTGCTACTCTCAGCCTCTCATGGGCTACCTCAATTTCTGACCGAACAAAGAATTAGAGCTTGATTTTTAACAGCAAACATCTGAGCCCAGCATTTCCTATAGATGTGGAGCATATATCTTTTCATAGGTCAAGGGGCACACCATTCAAATGCCCTCCTTCAGAGCACAAGACCAAGGGTAAAGAGGGACGTCACATGACTCATATTCTATTCAGCATCTGGGAGAGTTCACTGTGCTCAAAATCTATATCCTTTGTGTACTGTTGAACATAGGTCTTACAGTGGGCAATCGTTTTCTCCTGATATTATTTTTTACCTAGTAATATTGCTGTCTAGACAATTACATCTCATAATGATCCTATAGAACAGAGGAAAACTACCCAATAGGGCTTTCAAGGCTGTAAATTTTCATGGAAGCAGAAGAGGGAAAAAAATAGAGATGTGTGTGTATATACATACAGAGAGAGAGAGAGACAGACAGACAGACAGAAAGACAAACACACCTGTGGGAGTAAGAACTCAATGGGCTGGCCTAATTTTTCCAGGTTTCACAAGTTTTCTGCCTTTGACAGTTTCCCATCTATCTTCTCAATTAGTGGAAAATATTAGCGTTTCCCATCTCTGACAGGTTTCTGCCTGGCACACATTCTGGCTTTCACAAGTTTTATCATATTTGATAGATAGAATTATATATATTTACATTACATTATATACATTACACTAACATTTTTTATATCCATCAAGTGTAGCCATCGCCACCATCCATTTCCAACGTTTGGGGGTTTTATTTTTCTGTCACCCTTAACACAAACTCAGTGCTCCACAAACAATATCTGACCATTTCTTCTTCCCACTTACAACTGGTCACCACTACTAAACTTTGGTGTATGCATTTGCCTATCCTAGATAGTTCATATAAGGAGTTCTGGTGACATAGTAGGCTATACTTACTATATTCTTTTATGTTTGGTTTCTGCTATTCAAATTAATAATCTCAAGTTTCATTGATGTCATAACATGTATCAGGAGTCAGTATAAATAGAACACATTTGGTTTTCCACTCGTGTCGCTGGTGACTCGATGGCACATAACAATAACAGTAACAAACACAACAACTCATCTACTGATGGAAACTTGGGGTTTCCCCACCTTTTAGCTATTGTGAATAATGCTGCAGTGAACATCAATGCACTCTGTTTAGGAGTGGGTTTTGTTTTGCTTTTTATTTGAGAGTCTAATAAGGAATTCATTGAATTTTCTAGTCTTTCATGCCTTCTAATTCAACCCTCCAGGCTTTCTACAATAGAAAGTCTTTCTTTTTTTTTTTTTTTTGTCTCAATAAGATTAATTGTAGGCTTCAGAAAATTACTGATAAGGATCACAACACTACAATTTATATGATAGCATATGAAAAGATGACGCACAATAGTACTTAGAAGACCTCAGAGGACAATTGGAAATTGTGTCTCTAACCTTGTAGATTATTTAACAACAGCTGCGGTGATGTGATGTAGTGATAAAAGATTCATTTTGATGGTCATCGTATGCACAGAAATCTAACCTTGAGATAGTTGGCGTACTCTTCCGTAGTGGCCTAGGAAGCTGCTTTTGTAGACATGTTGTAATTGAGCTACTCTGAGCAATTTGAAATTAACAGTCTGATTTGAAAAACAAAAACAAACTCCCCCCAAAAAGTTCTTCATAATGAATCCTGATATTAAAATAGAGGTAATGTGTAATTTAATGTAATTTCTCTCTCTCAAACAACTCGATCCTTTTTAGCCTCCCCCTGCTCAGTCTGATTATAGTCCCTTAAATAGACAAGATTTCGTTTTGATTCTGGTCTTGGAGTTTGTATGCTGACTTGTATTCTGCATTAGTACTTATTTGTTGTCAATGGCTTGAACATCAGGTCTTGCTACAAAGCATACTTGGATTGGTTTCTAGGATACCAGGAGAGTGGTACATCTGCTTTTGCAAAATTGAATATCGTTTGCTTATTATAAGCCCCTGGATAAAGGGAATGTCAGCCTAAATGGGATGGTAGCTAGAGAACAGATTCGGTTTGGTGTGACTGAACAATGACTAAAAGCCACACCTGGTCAATTCGAGTGGATTGCTTACCAGAGCAGGTAAGTTTGCTAACTGTGTTGAACAGGTCTGAATTGACGTTTGCAAGTATAATTGTTAAACTTCATTTAGAAAGTTTAATGAGTGAGACAAAGGGTCTTCTTTTCCAGGGCCACTGAAGAAAAAGAAAAAAGAATTAGATGTTGGAGAATTTCCCTTGCCTGAATCAGGAGGTATACATAAGCATTGCTGATGAGTGTTGGGAAAAATAGACAAATTACATTACTCTCAGGCAAAGATAATGTTTTCAGATTTTAGTTGCTTAACTGGATGTACAAGGAGGAAGAACAGATAGGAAGGACCCTTGACCACACAATAGTTAACTGTAAAAAAAAAAACAAAAAAAAAACAACAATAGTTAACTGTATGGCTAGTAATCAAAAGGTTGGCAGTTCGAATGCTCCAATGGCTGAGCAGAAGAAAAGGCCTGACAGTGCTACCCTTTAAAGATTTCAGTATCCAACAACCAGCACCACAGTAAAGTGGATATGATGTTATAAAGCTGTTAATGCTAATTCTGATTTAAACCTTTTTGCATATCTGTGCCTGTCCATACTTGGGGAAATTAATTTCATTTCTCCCTTTGAATGTAGTGACACATGGCAACAGGTCATGACACATAGGTGAACTTGACTCAGTCGAGTGTATTCACCTGGTGATTTATATGGAGATTTGTTGGTTCAGCACATTCAAGGTTCCATTGGGGTGTGTCAAGACCTCTGGTTCTGCTGGGTGCTTTTCATGGCTTGCATTCCTGGGGCCAAGTGTTGTGGAATTCCAGACCACAGAGGCCATAAACATGATTCCACATCTGGCTTTTCCTTTATCTCCGATGGAATGATCTGGCCTCTCTCTGGACTCCTCCTCATCTTTTTACGTCATTTTTGTAATTCTGTTTATTGACATTACTCATAATCAGACTTGTGTGTTTATCTGATACTGATAGAGTAAATAATGAAGGTGATATTAACAGTTTAGAATCAAAAGAATAACTTAAATGGAGGCTGGGTAGAAAGAAGAAGAGAGAGATACCAAAGAGGTTTTCTTTAAGGCTGGGTTTTCTTGGTTATCTAGGATTCCTGTAATAGAAATACCCCATGTAGGCAGCTTCATTTTCTCCCAGGCTTAGATGTCTGAATTCAGGGTACCAGTTCTAGGGAGAGGCTCTGTCTCTCTATCGATTTTTTTAAAAAAAATTTTATTCCTTCATTGTTGTACATTCTTTTCCTCCCTCCCCTCCCCCTCTCTCCAGTCCACTTTACAATGAACCTCTTGTCACAGATTTTTGTCATGCATATAATGCCTAATCATATATTCCTCTTGGACAGTTCTTCCCTTTATCTGTTCCAAAGCAGTGTTCATTATCTATCTACTCTTTTCCTGTTCTCC